TCCAACTTCAGCCTATACTGCTTTATCTCTTGTGCTTGATCCTTATGAAGCTTCTTAATAACCTCCAAGGCCTTTGTGTATCTGAGAGCAAAAGCATGTGTTAGATTTTGCATCCAAAATTCTGAACCAGCACAGAATGAACAGAGCAAAAGATTATCAGAACTCTAAAGCATTGAATACTTAAAAATGTTTACCCAACCTATCTGTGATGAGTTTAAAACTTCAAAATTGTACAGTGAGGCATATCAACCACAATTACAGATGATGAATGATGTTTATCTGAACCTTCAGTACCTATTAGGTTAGTCAGACCAAGGTCGTTGCAATACATTAATGAACTTGCTAGACAGAAGTAGAGGAACAAAGCAATATACCATACACAGCAGCAGGGCCCATGTCAATGTCTAAATATGTCATTGAACATTCACATACTTGAATGGGCAAAGGTGTGGTGTTGAATGAGATATAGAATCCATTCGCATGTACCTGGAGTAGGCAAACAATTCCTAGTCGTACAGATGTTTTAAAACTTACAGTCAACTTCGCATACTCCACTTCCAGGCTACTTCCAACTTCTATTCCAACATTACACGTTAAAAGAAAAGGCTCTCTAATGAATAGACTATGACAAAAAGCACTCTGCCTTTCACAAAATCATCCAGTATACAGTCAAAAGTTGTATTAAAGTGGAAAAAATTACAAAAGTAAAATAAGTATGTATGAAATGTATAATTTGCAGCATGGATTGAATCTATGCATGCAGAACATAATGCTATCTTTGTTTATTTCTTTGAATAGCCTAAAATAACTAAAATATCGTTGCATGTGACGGTCAATGGCTAGTAAAGCTTCATACAATCAGCTGCCTATTTACCAAATCATGAGAAAAAACCAAGTTTCATCATGATAAAAATCCCCACAATCATCTGGAAACTAAGTACTGACAAATGCATTCTTCCTCTTAGCAACTTTTTCAGGATCTTTTGCAGTTCATATGGAGGATTTTTAAGTTAAAAATACATGTCAAGTCACATGAAACGACAAAATTGTAATACTTGAAGTGATTAAAGCAGAAAATAAAACAAGCACGATTTTTGGGTGGCAGAAAAACCGACAAGGCTTCCTAGTACTATGGATTACCTTGTTGCAGAGAAGATGTCATCAAATTTCTTTTTTAGCGTAGAAGGATCTTGCAGCGGCCAGTTAGCCTCATCTTGGTGCACGAATATAACATTTTCAAGAATAGCCTTTGAGACACCCATTAGAGCAGGAATTTCCCGGTCCATGTCAGCACATCGATAGCTTAGGCAAACTTTCTGCAGATGGATAACAAAAATAACTTTCAGTTGCAAAATAACCAGCACTAGGATAGTAGTGAAATCAAAAGATGAACCATAGTAATACATGGCCATGAACAAAAAATCACAATAACCTTGAATAATGTAAGCAAAGAAGAGCCAAATGACAAATCCTTGACAAAAGAAGCAAACAATGAAATATTCTCCCCTCAGGTCATCATGACATCTTTTACAAACTCAAAAGAGCTCAAATTCCAACAAGGCAATGAGATTGCAACTCACATCATAGTCTGCACTGAGCACTCTTCTGATGGAGGGGTAATGAAACAAGGCAAGTTCTTTGACAATAGGAGATGCCAGAAAATTCTTCTATAAGTAATTTTTTCAAGGATACAAAAGGAAAATGGTGAATCTTAAACTACATCGCTGAACCATGGACCTCTGCCTGACATACTAGAAAAGTATATCAAGAAAATCATATAAAACTTCAATGACAAGGATGCATCTTGATATAACATCTCCATGCATGAATCACATTGTATAGCAATCACTTGTTGCCAAGATATCTTATCGCATATACTTTTCCCCGTGCACTTTGCATGCAACATATGGTAACAGAGATTTGGAGAAATTATCCAAAGAAATTCAGACAGGAATCTGAAAGGCGTCTCTGAAGAACATAGATTTTAGTCATGGATAGCAAAAAATTACTCAACTCTGTTTTCTCTTACAGAAAAACTGCTCGAATAGTCCAGAAATTACAGAGGTCAAGCAGTTTGTTCAAGCTGCATAGCAAGATGCTGAACTTGAAATGGCAAATGTCTGTAAATCCAATGGTGGCAAATTCTATCAAAATGCTCAAAAAATAATCTAAAACTAACAGACAAGAAAATAAAAGAAAAGGATGCAGCAAATAAAAATGTTTTAGATGGGCCAGATTATTCCCCTAGAATACAAATGATCCAATTCTTCAGCAAGGACATTAAATACGTCATAACATTGTAAATGCTTGCAATGCTTAGTTTCACATGTACGCCACAGCATCCTAAGGCTTCTTACATTTATATACCAACATTAAATAATGAATCAAGAAGTTGAGCAACTAAAACCTAAACTAATAACAAGGGCCACAATGAATTGCCGAATTGCCGACATGCCAAATTTTATCTACACTCGTATAACTAACTAACTTAACATTATGTTCTTGTTTCATTAAATGAAGAAATGACAATCTAACTCAAGTTGATACCATCCCAAATCCTGTATACTTATATATATATTTCAGAACCAATATTGAAGTGAAGATATTCTCCTGCAATGCTTCCTTGCAGGTTATTCAACAGCAAAACTCATTTAGCTTGATGGGCTGCTCATGTCAATATTTTACATGTGTGGTAGAATCTTACTAGAAATAGAGATTTTGGTATTCTTCATAAAATTGGCTTAACTTGTAAAAACAAGAGGTTACATTAAGAATATCATCGTAGTTGTTTACCACAATTTATCTCTTTTGAGTACCACGATAACTATGCCTACTCAAATGGATGTTGTAAGAATTATACAAAACTTGTGGCAAACTCTGAAGCTTGACCAGTTCACATAAGGACTTTTATGAGTTGGATCTTTAACTTCTGAGTTGTAACAACTAGTCCAATAATCCATCCGACATCTCCATTACCACTAACTTAAAGCATATTACTTACAATCTTGAACAGGGCATGACACAACCATTATGACAAGGAAATAAACTAAATTACACCAAATCATCTACCAAAAGAACTAAACATAGCCAACCCCTTTTGCCTTGTGTGCTATCAAGAAAGGCCCTGGTACCTCTCTGTGATATATCTACAAAACATACACCAGAATGCGCATAAGATAATCAACATTAACTAACATATCAAAACTCATTGGATATAATCCATAAACCAAATATGTTTTTCAGAACTCCACATGATGGCAAACCAACCTACCTACCGAGAAACATACAAAGTCAATGAAGATATATGTTGCTCAAATTTACCTCCCCAGTATGAGGGTTGATTGTTTGCAGCACACTCTCAAGAGCTTTATATTCCATCTTGGTGGCCTTTTGGGTGAGCTGAAATGACCTTATACAAACCACATCCTTTCGAGCAGCGGTCTTAAACCTCAACTTTATCTGCCCTTTTGTCTCTGTCTCCCCGGCTACCTTCACCATTCACCACCCCAAATATCAGCAAAACTCTTTACTCACAAACATAATTAAATTACTGCAAATGTGAATGCTAAAACACTATTGGTCAAGGAGGGTAACCTTTGGGTCATGAATGAAGCTCTGACCGGAGCGAGCATTGGGAGGCAATTCACCAGTGCAAGCAACCTTCAAGGATTCAATTATAGTCTACACAACAAATCAACCAACAAATCAGTGTCTATGCAATGCAACAGAAGGTAGCGTAGTGTACAACATGGATACAGGCACAGAAAAATATACTCAGCTTACGAAAAACTGTGATTCAACCAGGTGCCCTTTTGCTTAAATTATTATTAACATGCTGAAATCTACTAGTAAAAAAAAAAAAACGACAGGACAAGATACAACAAGCTATGCATCACGTCCAACAATTATTTATACACAGAAATTCACCCAAAACCTACAGCATTTTTTGTATAACAAGCAATGCATAACGTCCAATTATTTTTCTTTTTTCCTGTTTCATCAACAGAAACACATTGCAGAAGCAGAAGAGTGCAAACATACTGTCAAGTAGTATTGCAACAGAAGGTACAACTCTTAATAAAAGACGTACCACCTCAATGCAGATCATCATCATTTATACAAGAAACATCACACTTTATAAAAAAAAAAAAAAAAAAGGGGGGGGGGCATGAAAGGACCGAGAGTACAACCTGTGATGCAAAACGTACAACACTTCACTGCAGTGCTTGTTCTAGAGTAACTCATCCCATGCACAGAATAATTTTTAAAAAAAAAGGACAGATCGTGCAACTTGTAATGCACAACGTACAACACTTAACTGCAGTGGTTATTCTAGAATAATCGGTTCCGTATACAGAAAAAAGAAAGTAACATGTTACCCAAAAAAAAAAAAGAAATAAAAAGTACAAGCAGAAAGATTAGAGAGAGAAAGTGGAAGTCGAGAAATTACAGTTTTGCCAGCTCCGTTGGGGCCGACGATGAGGGTTAAGGGCTTGAAGAAGGTGATGACGTTCTTGTTTTCCGGGTCGAAGCTCCGGATACCCTTTATCAGCATTTTATCCACCGTACTCATTTTTCTTGTACCTTTTTCCCCCAATTTTCAATTCAATAAATTACATGAGAAAGATAGAAAGATAGATAGATGGATAGATTTTGGGAGGAGGAAATTGACAGAGATTTCTGAGGAGAGTCAAGAGGGAATTTTGGGAAGAAGATGGCGGGGGAAGGGTTTAGGAAGGTTTTTATGAGGAGGAGTGAAGCGCGGGCATTTTGGAACTGGAAGAGTAGGAGAGAAGACAAGGACTAGAAAAAAAAAAAATTAGAAATGCCTTTTGGTTTTTTTTTTTTTAATTTTCTACTACTAATACTATGAGTTTTTATTTTTATTTTGCAAAATTCTTTTTTCTTTTCTAAGCTCATAGCAATTTTTGACTTTTTGATGTTATATTTTTATAGTTTGTCTTATGCCTAGATGAACTAATTCATGATGTATGGTATGGTTTAAAATGTCTCATCTCTCATTTTTTTATTTATGAAACTCCTCTGTTCAGTCTTCACTCTCTGCCCAAACTTTTCAGTCAGCTTCAACAAATGGCATCGGCTTCTTCTTCACTAACGCAAGAATTCGAGGATTGGGATCGTCCCTTCACCGATGAAGAACTCCAAGCCATTGACGAAGCCGTTTTGCAGTCCACCACGACTACCGATCGTCCCTTCACCGATGAAGAACTCCAAGCCATTGACGACGCCGTTTCGCAGTCCACCACGACTGCCGATTTATCCTTCACCGATGACGAACTCCACGCCATGGACGACGCCGTTTCGCAGTCCACCACGACTACCTCCCCCTCAGAGCGCCACGTGTCATGTTCCTCGGACTATGACGCGGATGAAAAATCTCGCCGGCGATTGCCCGACTCCCTCTTCATTTTCCATCCAAACAACACGAATTCGAATTCTTTCTCCCTTTCCCCTTGTCATCGAAGAAATCGCTTTCCCTCCTACGCTTTTCGCCGTTCTTCTTCCACATCTACTTGTCAAGGTAAATTTATTTTTATTTAGTTTTTAAATACTGCAGAGTTTTTTCTATTAATTGAATCCCTGCAAATAATTTTGGGAGAAAGAGAACACATGCCATAAGTAGAGCTCTGCTGCATTGTACCCTTCGGATCAAAACTTGTACTTTGCGTTCTGAAGTTAAAGCATTTCCTTTTAGAAGGGGAAAAAAGAAAAACAATAATATTGCACTCTATACATAATTAGGTGTTGTACTCTGTGCTGAAAATCTTGTACCTTGAATTTCTTGAGAACTCTGGCGACTGGTTTATTTTTTATTTTTTTGGTAGGAAAAAGAAATAGAGTTATTTGCTGTTGAAACATGTATTTTTCTGCTTTGTTAAATAAATAGATTGCGAATTTTTTTCATGAGAGGAGAAGTAATTTTTTTTTAGTATTGTTTACGGAGTGTAGTTATGAGGTATCCAGAAATAGCATTCAAAGGCCGAATTGTCTATAGCCGGGGCTTTGATGAGGTGGAGAAATCTGCTGAGGAGCTTCTCAGTTTTGTTGAACTTAAGAGAAGAAACGGAGGGCAAGCCATTCTTGGATTTGATATCGAATGGAGACCCACTTTTAGAAGAGGTATAGTCCATTCGCCAACCTTGTTTATTTTTTTACAGCTTCTCATTGGTTAAAATTACGTATTCGTTTTGTTCACGATACTCGTCTCCTAAATTCTTGATGCCATTGATGTTATTGTTCACAGCATTGTCTATTATCTGTGTTTTTAGTGCTATGAAATTCTTTATATGGTTTCTTTGACTGTGGAAATGGGTTTTTGATGATTGTTAGAAAGTTTGGTCATGAAGGTTTTGTAGTTACATATTCAGAAAATTGACTTATAGTTCCTATTATTGCTTATGAACTGAGTCTGATTAATTACGTTTTCTCAATGAACTGAGTCTGCTCAAGTCAGAAAGAAATTATCTATCAAGTTAATCAAGTGAAGTACAAGAAGAGAAGATTGATAATTTCTTTTATAAGATACAACTGTTCTAGTAGTTGTTATCCGTTTCCTGCTTAGGAGCCAAGAATCTTATTTTGTATCTGCGCTTATAATGAAATTTTTCCTTCCAGCTTTCCATTTATTATCCTATGTGTCCCTATGTGACCTTTCTCTTTTCTACTTGCTGACTGTGGTCACTTTCATCTTGCTCTTGGTCTTATTTTGTGGATTTGTTGGCATATTGGTCATTTCTACATTTGCATGCTGCATATTCTTCAAGTAAGGAAAAAAAGGAACAGGGTAAGGTTATGACTGAAATTCAAATAAAAACGAAGTTGAAATTGAATTTTTATACTAAATAATTCTATCTTAAGCTGAAGAAAAAAAAGATGCTATGAACATAGTTTTCCTCTTCCACATTGTTATTTTTTAACTATTACCAATCAATGGAGTTTAGGGTGAAAGCAAGGGCAATATCGAGATGAATCTATTTGACTAATCTGCAGCATCTTGAGAGTGTGAAGTGCCTGTAAGGGGTCTTGAGGATATCTGAACTGGACTTCTGAGATGACCTATGAGTCAGTAGTCAATTTTCGATTGGCAGCTAGATGGATGTCTGTGAGGTGGTATATCATCTGTAAGGCCACATATGAAGGCAGTATTGGCCATTTCTTGCAAGAAAATGTGATGCCAAAGTTGATCAAGTTCAACTTCTGATGGCTGATGTGTTTTTGTTGAATTTCATGGCAACCTAAGTTGGATGCGGCTATGTTTTTGATGCTTGTGGTACTACTTTGTCAACTAATGGAGTTCTAAGCAGTTTCCACTGGGTGCTTTTGCCCATTGATTTTAACTTTTGCTACGATTCTACAGTAGTTTCTTGGAATCAAGCTATTATGCATTGTGCATTTTGATTTTTTTTTCGCCCTTCATTGGAGCTTTTTCTGCTTATGCTTGGCATGCTTTTTCTTTTTAAACTTTCCAGCTTCTCATTCAAATTTATAGCAGCAACCCAAAAACTACTAGATGTTGGAATGGTGCCATCCTTTCCTATGCATCTCCATTCTATGCTATTTTTTCCCTGCTTTTTGTTGCAGTATTTATATTATCAAGTGTACAATAGAAGTAAGTGTTTAAATAGTTCATTATACAGGATAGCTAATTGTTGCAGGAGTTACACCTAGGAAGACAGCTGTTATGCAAATCTGCGGGGACAATAATGTATGTTATGTGATGCATGTCATTCATTCTGGAATTCCTCAAAATCTGAAAAGTCTTCTTGAAAATCCAACTTCAGTTAAGGTTAGTTATATCTCTCTATCAAAAGTTTCTACTTCTTTTGGTCAAAGAAAAGGTTTTTCTTTTTATAAATCTTTTCTGTCTGATTAACGTGCTCAGGACATATGCATAGGTCGGCGTGTGCATTGCCAACGATGCTTTTAAAATTTTTAAAGATCATAATGTGTCAGTAAAAGCTTTGGAAGATTTGTCAGATCTAGCAAATCATAAGCTTGGTGGAGATTGTAAGAAGTGGAGTCTATCGTCGCTGACTGAAACGCTTATCTGCAAGCAGGTTTCCTTGGGTTTCTTTATCAAAAAGAATATATGATTTCTGTGTTTGATTTGAGTAGAAAATGAGAAGCACTGACTGACTAGCTCTGACATTGGGATGCTCTTTTGGCTAGTAGGATTTACATGTCTACAAAGATGAGCTTCATCAATTTTTTTCTTCCTCTTTGGGGTTAAAAATGAAGATTTCAGTAAAATGTTGTAGATGGAGTGCAAAATACATATTTTGAAACTTATGGACAGCCACATGTAGAGTGCTGAGACTGTCTTCACTCTTGAAAGTTGTTCATCACCAATCAGGTCCTGAATGCCCTGTTCTCCAGCGATCTTATCGGACTGAGTAGGACTATTATCTATAGAGTTGGTTTTCATATTAAAGCCGTGCAACCAACCAAAAAGAAGGAAAAACGAAGACACTGTTGTTTTGGTTTTCAGCTTTGTGCATTAAATCCTAGGTTTGGATTGATATGCTCTCTGTTTACTTGTTAACCCAAAAGAATAAGGTCCATTAACAAACTTTCATTCATCATTCTTAAGGTACAGTCATCTAGAATATTTTTGAAATTAGAGAATCATTTGAAAGCTTTATCACTTCAAATTTATTCGGAATCAGCTCCATTCCACTCCCCAACACGTTACATGCGAACACAATTGAAAGGTGATTGTCCCATTCTCCATATTCTGTGAAAATTTTGATAGCAGTGATTGCCTTGAGGCATGTGCTATGTCTTGCTTAAAATCAAAAAGTTCATTTTGGTTGGGAGCCTGCTCACTAAAAAGATGAGGCTGGTAATAGATGCAGACACATAGTCTCGTGCCATTTGAGTTGAGTTGGATTCTTGTTCCTATGCTTCATACATCATATGAGAGAGAGTGAATTCAGGGATCTTTTATTGCGTCCACAACCATTAATAGTTAGGCTTTTGATAAAGGGCCTTCCTGAGATTTTTCTTTGGATTTTCAACAACAGGTCTCTCTCTTTTACTTTTCATGTCCTGATTATGGGTGGCTAGACTTTTTATGATCAATTATTTTTCCCAATTCAGGAAAATTATCACATCCTCGCATAAAGTGTCTGGGATGGTACTATTATAGTGTCTAAAGAACTCTTCTATCTGTGCATTGATGATGTAGCTGGGTTTTAAAGATGTCAGTCAACTTTAGCTATTCTCTTTCTGTACATGATGTTTGCTAACATATAGAGCAAAAAGCATTCTACTTGTCTTTCGTGGCCTTTTCTATGAGGTTTTGTGTCTAATTAGCAAACTTCGATGAGATTTCCATTGTAATGTTTTATCTGGCTGAAAAAATAATGCTTAATTAGTAGGTCTAGTTGTTGTTGAGCTATGCCATTTTTGTTGTCTCTGGAGACGCATTATCTCTTGATGCATGTAACTTTTTTGGGTTGCACTTCTGCTGATGTGGTATCTGGACATGGTTCTGCTGAAGGTAAACATAGCAGGAACTGATTTTATTAGGATATACTGTCTATAAATGTGGGAGCTGGTGAGCTGAGAGGTAAACGATTGATTGTTTCATCTAGTCTATGAAACTTTAAATGTCTTGGTGATGATTTTACGTAGAAGAGTTGTGTTAATTAAACAAAACATTGCATCTTTAATTTCACTAATCAATTACGGCATTGCTTAGTCTCCTAAAGCAGTCCAGCAATCTTGCTGTGAAATCTAAATGTAAGTTCCTGGATTCTTGTATAGCTGCCTAAGCCCAATAGGATCAGGCTTGGAAATTGGGAGACTGACGTTCTATCAAAGGAGCAGCTACATTATGCTGCCACAGATGCTTTTGTTTCTTGGTACCTATATGAGGTAATTGGCACCTTGTGTATGTTCATTTCATATTTTATGTTTTCTCTTCAGTAAATCATTGTCGTGTATGAAACATTTTCTGCACTTACTTTACCTTTGCTCTTTAACCAACGAATATACAGGCACTACAAACTCTTCCAGAGGCAGAGAACAAGAAAATTGAGGAATCAGTGGTTCTGTCATCATAGCGGTCTTCTTTTAATCAGTAATTATTTGCTTGGATCAGCATTGTGTTTGTACTTCTAGAGCATAACTTCCCCACGAGACAACCATTAAACAGCATTCTGGATGCCACTTTCTTGATAATGATGAAATGTGAATCTGCACTAAGGAATATGAGAGATGCTGTTGTACCTGAAAAGCATTCCCTTGATGGCCACTTTGATCGAGTCTCCTATTCCACAAATGACTTGTATGACCAAGCCACGTTATTCGATTTTTTGCTGCCAGGTTAATCAGTTCCTAGATTGTCTTGCAGCAAAAGTCCACCCGCTTTTGCCTTGAAGCAACTCATTCTTTCAATGATACAAGGAAGGCTTCAGAGCTTAAGCTGCTTCCGGCCATTGTCTGTTGTAAAGATCAAGGTTCCCTCTTAAAACTTCTCCTGAGGGAAATGAATGTTTCATTTAGGCTGACAGAGTAGTAGTAGTTTCAGCAAGTTTTGTATCTGTTGTGTCATTTTGCTACAGTCATTATTGCACGCCCTTTCTGCAAGATACTACTTATTTGTAGGTTCATAACAGTATCTTAAATTGTAAATAAATTCTCTGGTTTCTTAGATGGTTCTCAAGACATGAAATATATTTAGTAGTTAAATATATTGTCCAAACTTGATTCTTTTTATCAGGTTTGCATTCAAGCCTACAGCAACTGGTTTATGGGATTACTAGTGGAATTATTATGAATTTTAGGCTGCATTTGACAGCAGCCCCGCATTATTGGCATATATTACATTTTGCTCCCTAGAATTTCTAAATAAAATTGAACCTTTTTAATTTAGGTGAGAGGTTCTCTTTTCCAAAAAAAAAAAAAAAACCCTCAATTTTCAGAATCTTCTTTTCAATTTTTTACTCATTACTTTTTTTTGTTTTCAAAAAAAAAAAAAAGAGAAAATATAAGTTGATGAATGTCTCTTTGTTTGAAGATTATCTCTCCTAATGAAAAGCTTTAAGTGCTTGCTTAGGAGGAAAACGGTGTCACTTATGCTAAAGCGTTCCCGGGGATTTCATGCCATACACCCCAATCCCTATTCAAATAAGTAAAGTATTGATACTTGTTGTTTATACAAATCATTGAAGTTATTAATCCAACTCCTTAAAAAAGAAAAAAAAAATAGAAAAAGTTGCTTAATACTAAAGCTAAGTAATGTAAGATTAAGACAAGACAGGAATTAATATGCCTCTGGTCCTCCCTGCCCCAACCCCCAACCCCCAACCCATGTTTAAAAGAAATTAATCCCACGAATGAAACTCATTTTATACTATAGATGGTCTCTTTTCTTCACTTTAAATAAAGTAATTAGATGACTTTTTACACAAAAGGAAATTCGAAAAGGGTTCTTGGTTATTTGTTTTATTCCTTTTGGCTTTTAAGCAACATGTTGAGAAACCAACTTTAAAATGTTGACGGATATATTCTCTAGCCAACAGCTTTTGGTTATATGACTAAAATCTAGAGATCAAAAATCTATTTCATTTTTTAGTGACTATCTGATATAACGTTTTCAATCACATTGACAAAAAATTATTTGCTACATTATTTTTTTCAATCACGTTTTTATCTTTTTAACCACCCTTCAACCTCACGTACGTTGTATCACACAAACTGTTAAAAGTATATAAATTATTCAGAATAATTTTTCCAAATAATCTTCGATCCAAACAGACCAAATATTATTGTATCTAAATCAAACAAGAAATTTGGTCATCACATTTTTTTGTTCTTGCATCAACAGAAAGGTACATGTTGAAACTCAAGTCTTGTTTAACAAGAAAAGCACTTCAAAATATGAAAACAAATTCATGTGTAATATATGATGTCACCCTGACTATCAGACACTTGTATCTTACCATCACAATCTCCTGGGCCATATAACATAGCATATTTCAGTTCCCTAGACTTCTAGTGCACTTTTACTGTACAGCATGTGCAAATGAATGCCCCAAATTGAAGTGACCAAAGGCAACTTTGTGGGTTCTTGAGGACCTAATATCTTCTAAATCTCCAACATCCAAAGAAATGAAGGGTATAAAGAAACAGGAGTACAGGACCAAGAATTGAAAAGAAAAGAAGAGAAAGAAAGAAACAAAGGTGAAAGGTGATGGCTTATCAGTTGTAAGGGCAAGTGCATGTGAGTGGGCCTTAGGCAATTTAGCCATGCATGAATGGAAGTCTTGTTCAACTCCCTCCACCCCTCGAGTTTTGTGGGTGATAAAGGCCTCCATGTGAAGGGGATGCGACTTGTGAGAATGTGATTCGACTTGGGAAATGGACAGCAAAAAAAAATTGAACTTGAATTGGATTTGACTCTCCATTTAAAGTGATTGTGAAGCATGTGGGCATGAGTCTTGTTTGTTAGGGAAACTCCATTTTGATATCAATATCAATCAGGGCGTAGCTAGAATGCCTAGAAACAAAAACAGGTGATGCATAGTAATAAATTTGGCCAAGAAAACAAAATACTAACAGAGAGATATGATGTATAAAATGTATGTGGTTGGGGATATTTGAGTATGTTTTAGCATAATAATCCTGTATATATGTTTGGTCTTCAGTTCCTTCTCGTCTTCTTTTTTATTATCTAATTTTTCTAAGTTTGCACATCAATTGTTTCTAGCATTAGTGTGATGTCAATTTGAAACACATACACAGCATATTTGGCAGTGTATTTGTTACTTTTAGCTACCATTGATGAAGAAAAGTATATGTTTTCCTAAATCTTTTACTTCTCTATGCTTTTCTTATCTTAGTGAGTTTGAAATAAAATAGTAAGAAGAATAGACTGCAATAACTAGAGAATCCACAATAATTATCATTGGCTAATGTTTCATTATAAACATCAAAAGATATATCTTTTTGTTGCCATCGAAAATGGCACCAAAATTCAGTGGTATCGAAAAAATTCAGGCAGAAATGCCAATCAAATGATTCTTTTACGTGAAGGGTACAATTACCAAGATCATCGTCCTTAGATTGGCAGCTGGACTGTAACCGGAACAGATGCATCAAGAAGATCATCAACTATAACTACTAGTATATATTTTCACCCCATGCTTGTACTTTTGTAGCATGCAGAAGGCAAAAAGAAAGTATAATTAACAAGCTAATGATTTTCATTGCACTAATAATCTTCAATTTTCTTGTTATGTGTTGAAGTGTTAGTGCTTAAGTTCATATGGTAGTAACAAGTAGAACTTGCTAATAGTGAGAGTAGTAATAAGTAATATTTTGTTGCATTTCCTTTCAAAAGGGATGCAAAATAATGGGTATAAGCCAACCCTTTTTTTTTATGTACAAGCCAACTTAATAATTGGCCTAATTCATTTCTTTAATTAGATCATTAGATGTTTCATATAAGATAGGAAAACATTATAACATCAGTCATGGATCAAAACCATGTTAACTTATGATAGCTTAATGGAAACTAGATCTTTATCAGTTCACAAGTTTCTGAGGTTTTGAGACATATACTAAGGCCCATTTGAAGTTGCGGTAACTTATTGAAAAATACTTTTCTAGTAGAGCTTTTAATAAAAATACTTATCAACTGCTTAAGTGCTTTTAAATATATTGTTTGGAGACATAATTCAATAAATACTTATTTTATTGGATAATGTATAATTTGAAAATTTTTAGAAGTATTTATCTCTTTATTTGGTTTATAATAATATAGAATAAGATGATTAAATTTGATGTTTTATTTTTTAAATCACAAAACTTACTCTAAAAGCACCAAATTTGAGCTTTTGCTAAAAGTGTTTTTAACACCAAAAAATCTACTCCTAATTTTATGGGATAATTTAACCAAACATTTTAAAAATACTTTTAACACCTAAAAGAAAAGTGCCTTTTTACCGAAAACACTGCAATCCCAAACGGCTCCTAAGTCAATCTGTCTTGTTCTAAATATATTCTTGATCACATTTTGAGATGTTTGTATGATGCTATCGTCTTCCTTACTCTGATTCTAAATGACCACCGATCTAATATTTCTCCCACATATCCATCATGGAGCGATCTACATCAAACTTCTCTTTCAAACTTCTCTTGCTAAGAACGTCTCAGTGACTTGCAAATCCCTATCATATTCATAATACACCTTAACATCTCTCTCTCTCTCTGAGAAAGTTGTCATTAGCCCTGCCTTCCAAGACTCCAAGTTTTAACTTTTAAGCAGTTTGTTCAAGCTTCCAATTATGACCAGTATCTGGTACGTACCAGCTACGTACTGAACAAGAGTATTTTTTGTTATTCTTTCTTTCCCTATTCATATGTTTCATATATATTTGCTCTGTGGCTGCAAGAAAAAAAAAAGGGTCTTCTTGTGGTATCCAGAGTGGCACTTCATAAAATATGTTTCTTAGAATTAATATTGCCACTCTCTAGACAATTTTAAATGCGGGAAGCATTATGGTTACTTTTTTCCCGGAAATGAAAGTGATATTTGCTTTTATCTATATAAAATATTTATGTGTCTTTTATATACACCTTGCAAACTATAATTGGATGAATTTAAGGATTTTATAAAAATTTTAGAATTTTTTTTGAATGTTTTAACTTTTTGTCAAATCAATTGGCTTGAAAACAAGAAAAAGATGAAGTTATTAACGAAATAATTTGAAACTTGTTCAAGGTATTTTCAACGTCTAAAAAAGTTTTTTTTTAAAAAAATTGTAACAATTTTCGGTTGACTTTTATGAGTTATCTAAATTATTTAGAATTTGCATTTCTTGTCCAGACTAAAGACATCTAACACGGCAAAACGCCTTTCAAGCTCATTAACACGCTGTAATTCTTAAAGAATTAACTTGGTTTGTTCTTCTGAAAACTAAATGTTCACAAAAAAACGGTAATTTTGGAATAGAAATATCTTCTCTCTCTCAAAATAAGTTTTTAAATCATATTCTTCGAAATGAGTTGATAAAACTATTTAAAAAATTTTAAAATAGTCGAGGTAAATAATATTTTTTTAAAAATTTAAAGATATCAAGTAATACCGTCATAAATCTCGCGGGAGGTTTTCAAGCTTATCACACATACCAAAAAAAAAAAGGGTTTTAACCAAAATGAAGAAATTCATCCCTATCCCCTACATGAATTTTGATTAATGATCAATGGGGAAAAAAAAAAAGTAAACAATAACGTCATGGCATTAATTGAAGTCAAGGAGGGGCATAGATGAGCGTGTGGGGCCCTCTCGTAGCTGTGGGGGTACTGTAAGGAATGATGGAACAATAACTGTACGTGAAATGACATAAATGACCCTCAAGCGGATCGAAACGATCACTAGAAGAAAGTGGGGCATAGAAGGTTCTTCCCTGCCGACAATTTCTGGGAATGCGCGCTCAGACTCAGAGTACAAGGAGGCGTGTGCGTGCGATCTCCTTGGTCTAATTGTGCAACTACATCTGTCGTTTTGCAGCTTTTACCGACGGAAAACGACAATTCTCGCCGAGGCTTCCTGTTGACGAGTTTAGCCTTTCGATCTCTTTTTGTTTCCTTTCGTCTCTTGTCAGCTTTTTGGTTTTGTTTTTGCGGCTTACCCTTTAATTGATGTATTATTAATTTTTTAGGTAGGGCAGGTTCCAGACTTTCAAGTTTCGCCTCTCC